GCAACAGTTGACGCTTATTACAGGGTGAAAATGGCATGTAAGGCGATATGAAAGGTTTATTAGCTATGTCAGACAGTTGGCAGATACTCTAGGGACTAGTTACGAAGAAATGGAAATTGGTATATTATCCTGATTATCATAGACTATAAATAGATGAACATGAGGGTAGTGTAGGAAGTTGTTTTTAGAGGTAGATTTGCTGCAAATAAAAAGAGATAAAAGTAAATATTTATTTATTTATTAAAAGTAAAGTTATAAATAGATTTATGATTTACCAGATATTCCATGCATATGATCAAGGTCTTAAAATTGATTTATTCGAAACGTTGTTATTAATTAATTCATAATAATGTTAAGCCCTTTGCAATTAGTTTCTAGAATCGAGCTTATCGCAACATTTATGCTTTCCCACAACGTCAACCGAATCGACAATATCAATTGAAGTGAGTCATACAGCAATATTGATGATCCTAAGTGAGTCACCCTGTGTGTTTGCTATAAAAAAAAGCTCACTTGATCAATTGGTCTTTCGGCGTTGATCTACATAAGTTTAGCTTCCGTGTTATTGGCTATCGATGTTTGAATTATTTATTTATTGCTAATTCGATTCCGTTTTTTTGTGAATGGCGTCAAAGTTAACCACTTTAGACACTTGTATAGCGTATTTAGCAACCGCAATGCCACAGCATGCGATTAGGACCCCACCGAAGTGGTGGCCATGGCTACTGGCTGGAGTCTTCACGCGTGGGTTGTGCGCCCATTCGCAACTTTCACAACATTTCCGTTTTGCGAATATTTTTTGTTGTTGTCTGACTTGTTGGGGAATTGGTTAACTGGCGGGTGGCTTTTACGTCAGGGGCGCCTTGCTGCTTGCGTACATTTCTCTTTAGAAACACACACACATATAAATACATGTGTGTTTGCTGTTTGATAAGGTTAAGCCCGCATAGGACGCACGCCCCCGCCATATCACAGTGATTGCTTCTGTTGTTATTGTATATAGTGTATTGTTGCTATTAATATAACAATTCGGTTATATTTATAAACGGAATACGGTCAGAAAACGTCACTTGTGCGACTGATATTTGTTGCCAATTCGGTTTGCATAGGGGTAGCCCATACGACGTCAACTGCCATAGAGAAGGTCAATTAGGTGGCTCACCGATAACAATCGTCAAGACAATTTATATCGATTATTATATAAGCGCAAGCCAATTAAAGAGATCGATCATTTGGCGTTAGTTAATTAACATAACCAAAAATAAACCATGAAAAAGATGCGAAAAAATTTCCAAATTTCCAAATTTATTTTTGCAACGTTAATTTACAACAATAGCATTTGAAAGGCAATCAACGAACAGCAACAACAAATTTGGCTAGGGTTGCCTTTTAGCATTCTTCTACTGTTTCGTCCACTTTCTTTTCGGGCCACTTTACATTTACCAATTACCATTTACCACGCTCTTTTCGACTGCCAGCGGAACAGGCAAAAGTCGAAACCGAAGCGCAAGCCAAAGCGTAGCAATTTTTCAAGTTAAAAAGCATTTTTGAATTGTGGGAGCACCTTTCACTTTACGCCGATGATCAACATCATGATGACGAAGAAGAAGAAGAAGTAGCAGCAACAGCAGTAGTCGCAGCAACAGACGGACTGAGAGACAGACAAGCATTAAAATTGAAAAGAAATAAAGAGCAGCTAAAAATGCTGTGCACAACACACAAAGAAAACCGATACATGTGTCAGTTGAGTGTACGTACATATGTATGTGTGTGTGCCCACAAACATAAGTACACATGTACACACACAGACATACATACCCATACAACTGCATTTTTATAAATGTGAAAGGTTTTCGCTTGCTGCAACATTATTTAATCAATCCAATTTGTGGAGCAAGCGAAAAAAAGCAAAATCGAAAAAAAAAATATTTATATATATAGACAATACGAAACTAAAAAGATGAAAGACAGAAAAAAACTATAACCAGTTTAATTATTTTATGAAATTGTATTTCTGTTGCTTTGATTTTTGTCTTTTCTTTTTTTTCTGTCATTTACACCCTTCTTGCCTTGGCTGAAACTACGAAAAAAAGGAAAATAAATTTAAATAAAATTGTATAATGGATCGAAGGCGATATGCTAATGTCGACCAAATAAGTATACATATCTATGTATATTTCTGTATGCATGTTAAACGAAAACCCTACGGCGGCTCATTTGGAGTTTGGGTATTTGAATAGATTTTGAAATGTGGAAAACATTCTCATTAAATTTCTACGTCAAGTTGCACGTGTGTGCAACAGGTGCTCATCTGCACCGATAGCGGTTTGTCATCGATAGCTAAGCTTACAATCGATATATCTGTGTTGATCATTAGATGCTTGAGCTATTGCTTAAGCGCTTTTTGCGGCTCAAGTGTCCGCTGAACACTCGAGGGCAGGTAGCACTTGACTTCACCTTTCATCGAACATGAAGACAGCAAGTGAGAGAAAAAGATCATCTGAAACCTGTGGCAAACGAACTGCTCACTGATGCTCTACATCTTTGATTTGTCCGTAACTTGGCCCCCAGCGCCGCTTTGCTACGATCCGCAGCATCAACGACAGCGACAGCAACAGCTGGGAAGCAGGGGGCAGCGAGAAATGCCTGTGAGCATTTAGTTTTTGCTGTCTCTTGGCTTTCTTTCATCGTCAAGCTCCCCACAATATCTCTCTGTATATGTATACCAATGACTGACTGTCTGTATGTGTGTGTGTGTGTGTTTATGTTGCCCGTTTTGGTAACATTTTTCAAGAATTGCTAATTCTCAACAATTCCAAGGTTCGTTGAACTCATCATAAACATACACACATGCACATACATACGCTAAAGGCACGCACAGACACACACAGTTGTACAATTTATTTACGCTTCTCTGCTGCCGCTGCTACTTTGCCGATTCTTGGCCGCTGCAGAGAGTCGGCTAAAATATGGAGAAAGCACTTGTGCAGGGATATACAAACAGACGTACATGCAAACGAGGGTGGATCATAAAATGTAACTTGCGAAATGCCCTAGCTTGTCTTCTGTATGACAGTGTATCTCTATATGGCAATGTAATTAGTTCAACTCGTATACTATCGTTGCATAGCTCATCGTCATTACAATGAGTTATCGATGCAGGTCTCATCACAATTACAGACACAGGCCGTATTCATGATCCCCAAGTGTCATCGCAATTGCACGTCACGTTCGTTCATGTCGTTAATGTACGAATACTTTTAAATCCACCCTCGCACATACCAGCGAATGACTCTACATGCATAAGTATACGTTTGTACGTGTGTAAGTAAGTATGTATACAAAAGGCATATACAATGCACGCGTGCAAACGGTAATCAATGTTTAAGTTTATATGCCGAGTACGAATAAGTGGTAAGCTTGAAAGAAGACCCACACAGACAGACAGACAGACAGCCAGCACAGCGAGAAAGAGATAGAGTGGGAGAGAGAGAGATACCTGTGGCAGCACGCAAGCCGGCTGACACAGACACACGCACACAGTCGCATAAATACTTATGCATGTATGTATGACCATGCCCGCGACGACGTTCCCTTTTCTTATGGCCAAAACTGGATTTCCCATTTGAGTGTGGCTTAGAATGTGAGCATTTTTTCGAGGCAAAAAATATATATTTTACATACTAATGGGCTTTTAAAACCAAGCGTAATTACATGCACTTTTTATCATACATACACATACATACGAATGTATGTATATATAGTTACAAATACTACACATATGTGCACACACACACACTTGCTCTCATGCAGAAAGTGTCGCACTTATATGGGTCAACAATTTATGGCCGTAGATTTGTTTACAGCAATTAAGTAAATTCAAAATGTCTTGCTTTTATTCTACATATGCACATACATATTTATATATGTACAAATGTCTATATGCGCGTATATTTTGACAAAAACTGGCACATTGAGATTACATCATCACGACCAAGTTCGCATTCTGGATATTTATATATTTTGGGAGTAGAAGAAGAAGCAAACTTGTTCCTGCCAAGCGGCAAACAACAAACAAACACTTGTTGCAAATCGCATTTGTGCTCATCATCAGCTCTCAACATGCACATGGTTGTTATTCAAGGTTGTTTTTTTGCGTCTAATCGCACTCACGGCACCACAAAATGCGATCCATTTAAATTTAATTTATTAATCTGTTACACATTTTTATTCATTACCTTTTTGTAAGCCTCGCGAAATTAGCGATGTGTGGCGACAAAGAGCTTCATTGTTATCGATGGTTTACTCAAAAGGACATGCAAAACCAAATTATCGAAATGTCCGACAGGAAGTCGGATTTTTTGAGTACTTTAAAAACGTTGACATAGATTTAAAAGAAAAAGAAAACATTTCAATGCCCAGTTCCACTTCAATTAGTATGAAATGATAAAGTTTAAATTACTTTTATTTTGATTTTGTTTGAATCTATGAGAATTTCAAGGGTACGATAGTGCCGCAGTCGCCTTTGATAAGATTGACAAACAAAAAATACATACAGGCCTCGCAACGTATGCAAGGCTGCCCATCTTTAAATACATATGTATGTCCATGCATATGTATGTATATTTTCAAATATATTGTATTTTTCATATAGTACTTATTGTATTGAGCTATCTGCATGGGTCGTATATCTGTATCACTGCGTTTTTGGTTTTACGTATGCCAGCATTTCGTGCGATTCGCTTTTTAAATTATTATTAGTGTATTTGTTTTTGTTTTTTTTTTTTTAATATTTTATTTTCTTGTTTGCACAAATAAATGTATAAATATATATATATATGTATACAGGCATATACATATATATTTCAACTTTTGTTTCTAAGTTATATAAGCGCGCGCTATCGCTGTGCAACACGACTGCGACTCCCCATGCCGTGTGTTCATTCATTTACTAATTACTTTTGCTATTGTTTTTTCTGCTGCTGCTGCTATTTTTACAGACGGAATCCTTGAAAATTAGCAGCGATCATGATATGCACGATTGGTTTTACGATCGTGATGTCAAGGATCCAGCTGTCATACTACACGACAAGCTCATTTCCGATGCGCTGCTCAATGGCACGGGACCAATCAAAACGGAGCATTCCTACAGTCTCAATAGCGATGGTGACTCCCTGCCCGATTCACCAAAAAGCCTGCAGGCAAAAATCGATGGTAGGTATTCGTTATCGATAATGCATTGTGATGGGGTATTTGTTTTTTTTTTTTTGTCAAAACAATCAGAATAAAGCCACAGCTGCTATCGATTATTTTGGGATAACGGTTGACTTAACGTTTTCTTGAGTTTTTCACGCTGTGGCTGTGTAGCTCTAAAGCCAAGACAAATACAGTTGCCAGTTGGTGGCTCCATTGTGAATTTAGGCCATGTACATAGTGAACGACAAAACATGACAATAACAAAAAAAACAGTTGAGCAGCTTCTGTGTTTTATTTTACTTTTTTTTAGCTGTTGCGGTAGCATTTAGCAATTTAACGCAGTACTCGTGCATGAAGTTTTGTACTTTGACGCGATATCAGTTATTGTTGTTGGTAATATTCCCGTATATATGTACATGAGTATTTCTGTCCGTCTGTATGGGCGCAGGGTATATATAATTGTTGCTGGCCTGCTTATTTCTCTCAATTTTTGTTATTTGTAATTTTATGGAAACTGTACAACAACTGTGTAAATAAAATTAAAATTTATTAAAAAGAGGAGAAAAACGTAGCTGAAACAACACAAGCACATTCATAGCTATTAAATGCAAACACAAGTGGCATGCCACAAGCATATGCTGACGCGCGCGCACGCCCACAGTCTGTCATCCAAGTAGATCCAATGTTTGGCTCTGTTTGCATAGTTACAGAGAACAATATGAAATTGTTGTATAATATTTGCCAAATAGGCAAATTTAGGTTGCTCAACAAAATATTTGTTCAGATCTTATTTGAGAGTTGCTTACGGAACAGTCGAAATGCTGAATGCAGGTTTACCACGTGTGGCATTCGAATAATTTAAATAAGGCTATAAAAAAGTTGAGTTAATTTTAGAATGTTTCGAGTTTTCCATAATTTGTATATATGTTTTTGTTTTCATTTCTATTCCTGGCTGAAGTAACGACTGTTGTGTTGGCGAAATTTCTTGAATACCGAAGTAAATATCTTCAGTATATAATGCAATTTGTACATATAATTGAATTTATCCTATCCATAGGCAATTTCATGTATAAAGAGTACGATTTCTCCACATAATACCCAGCTCACCTTGCTTTACGATTTACAATGTTTCCAATACGAACGTTTTGTGGCTGGGAAACACTTAATGCTTACTCAATGCAAGACGAGTGCAATATGGCAGAGTTATGATTAGAAGACTAGCTTCAAATAGTCATACTTTCGTCTTCCATTTGGTTGATCTTCGATTTCTTTAGCAATTTACAATGTTTCCACTGTTGACTTTTGCAATTTACAATGTTTCCACTGCATGCGTCTTTATACCTATGGATGAGTGCCATATCCAAAAGTTCTGTTAGTCATACTATATGGAAACATCTTTTCACATGCTTAGCTTAATCTAATGCATTCACTATTTACAGTTGTGGATGACAAATGTTGTTTTATCAAGCTTGAATAGAGAAAAATATGTTTTGGCACAGACTTGACTTAATTGCGACAGACCTTTGAATGGTGTGCGAAAATGTTAAGTGCTTCCATTGCTCACTTCTTTACAGATATGGATGACGAGTGCTACTCTGGCAGTGGTCGCATCACCATCGATCCCAAATGCCTAACACTACACCCGCCCGCAAGAAACAGTCGCAGCAGCGCAATGCTGAGCAGCACGAGTGGAGCCATCGCCAGTGCGAGCTCCGCGTTGAGCACAGCCATCACAGAGTTGGCGGCGGCAAGCACAGCGCGAGCCAGCGAGCTGCACCACCAGCAGCAGCAACAGCAACAACAGCAGCAGCTCCACCAGCACCACCAGCAACAGCAACAGCACCACCACCAGCAGCATGCTCCCAGCAGCAGCAGTGACAGCAGTGGAATGCACGTAACGCTGGAGCACTTTCAACTACCTCAACACTTGGCGGATATGTACGATGATAACGATTGCAGCTCATCGGTGTCATCGGCCAGAGAGGGCAGCATATCGCCGGATATATGCTCAGATATTGAAATCGATGAGGCGATCATCAAGGATGAGCCCATGTCGCCCGATTCCAGCTGCCCCGCCAGTCCAAACTCACAGATCAGCAACGCCCAGCAGCTGAGCCTTAATCTGGCCAATTTGCAAACAGAATTGCTCTTCGACCAAAAGGTGAGACAGAATACGAAAAAGACTCAAGTCGAGCCGAAGCTAAACAGTTTTCTTTTGCTTTCAGCACGGTGGCCTTTTGTTAGCCACCAGCAGCCAGAGCCTAATCAAATCACAGCAGCAGCAGCAGCAGCTCTTGCTTGGGCAAAGCAGCCAGAGTCTGATGCTGCCCAAGATCGCCATCAAAAGCGAAAAGCAAAGCAACGCAAGCAGCAGCAACAGTAGCAGCTCGGGCAAGTCGCACGCCTATGGCATACCTTTGACGCCGCCCTCTTCGCTGCCCAGCGATGACTCCGAGGGCAATTTGTCGCCAGAGCATTTGTATGCCCCACTGTCGCCCAATGCTTCGGCAGTGGCTAATGGCGAAGCGGCCCAAAATACAAGTGCGCGACGAACTGCTGCAGCTATAACACGAGCGGCGAGCAACAGCAGCAGCAACAATGGAGGCGCCACCAGCAATGCAACGCCCTCGACGAGGCAGCCGATACATACGCCTCTCATAAGCTCACAGCCAGTAAGATAATTCGATAAACTCATCATGCATTAGACCAATTGATTACTTACACTACTCTCTCGCCCACTCACAGAAAGGCTCAACGGGAACGCTGCTGCTGACGGAGGAGGAGAAGCGCACGCTGCTAGCCGAGGGCTATCCCATACCACAAAAGCTGCCGCTAACCAAAGCCGAAGAGAAATCGCTTAAGAAAATACGACGCAAAATTAAAAATAAGGTAGGATAACGGATAAACCTTATAGAGTATATAGCCATAGCTATCTAAATCTTACAACTCTTACAGATCTCTGCTCAGGAAAGTCGTCGTAAGAAGAAGGAATATATGGATCAGCTGGAACGGCGTGTGGAAATTCTGGTTACTGAGAATCATGATTACAAGAAACGCCTTGAGTCACTGGAGGAGACCAATGCCAATCTACTTAGTCAGCTGCACAAACTGCAGGCCCTAGTTAGCAAGCACAATGTGAAAAAGTCCTAAAGCCTGGATCGCGACACGGTTCAAGTTTTGCCTGCCTGCCCGAGAGATATTTTATTTTACTGTAACTTTTATTTCGTTTCTTTTGTTTCCGTTTTCGCTTTTAAGAATTTATCAGTTTATTGGCCTTTTCGGTTAGCACAAAACATTCCCCAATTCAAGAGAGAAAAACAACAACTAAAAACTATAAACCCAACCTCAGCAACTCTTAAGATTTAGCAGCCATTATCGGCCCAAAACTGCGAAACCATATGTCTATCGATAATAATCGATATCTAGCTACTTATAGTTTGTATTCTATATTATTATGATTAGTCATGCATTCCTGTTATATAAACTAATATACGATAAATAGAAAGTAGACAAGACAAGCTCAAAAATGTAGACTAGCCTCTCAATAGAAGCTACATAAAAACTAATTGAAAAACTATTACACACACCAACACACAACCAAAAAGGAAAAAAACATATGGCATGGGCTCTATAGGAACATTCGATTTGATTCGATTGAAGAGCGACAACATGTACATTATGTTTTAATAATGAATGCTTGAGTGGTAAAAACTACTTTCAAAGCTGTTTCCCAAAAACAAGAAAACCTAAAAAAATTACAAAAAAAAGTAAAACAGTTTTCGAATTTCATTTTGCAAGACTTTTGTTCCTTTATACGATATTTCTCAACAAAAAAAACTAAACTAAAGCAAAATGCCTAATTGAAAATCTGTTAGAACGACAAAAACAATTCCATATATGAATTATAATTTTATGTAGATATACATATATATATATATATATCGGTATATAACTATATATATATATTTGTAGTAAATATTTAACGAACTATGTCTTTATGCAGCATTTAAGAATAATTTTTTTCGTTTACCAGATTGAAAAATGCTTTCGATATTTCCGAGCCAATTACAAAAAAACCGTAGATGAATATAATGAAAATATTGTTTGTTAAGTTTTAATAATGTAAGTGTATTACTACAACAACAACAGCAACGACAATATGATTTACTTTGCAGCAAAGATTTTTGTTTGATTTTTTATTATTTACAATTGAATTTAAACATTTTATAGTGCAATTTTTTGGCATAACTAAATATTTCTTGTTTTTAAACCAACAATCAATTATTAATTAATTATACATACATACATATATATATATATATAAATATATATATATTAATATAAATATTTGTATGAGTCATTTTTAGTTTTTTTTAAATTAGTTGAATTTACCACATAAAACGATGAAAAGCAAAACAAGAAAACGAAAAATATTTACTTAAGCGAACATTTGTCACGTTTTATTGATTTCTTATCAGAAAGGATTCGTTTCGTATATATTGTATAATTAATTTAGCTATTTTAGTGTACATAAATCACATGCGGACGAAGTTGTGCAATTGTTAGTAAAATTTTTATATAAAAACAAAAAGAAAAACACAAAAATCTATAGAAAATTAACAACTTGACAAAAATTACACTTGTGCAATGGAAAATTTGATTCGAATGCGTTAAAACAAATTGATAGATGCAAAATATATTTATACAAATATGATATATGTATATAAAAATTATATATATATATATATATTTAAATATATACAGTATGTACCATATGACCATACGTTATTTTTGGCTACAACATTTTTAACGCATACAAAATGAAAAAAATATATTAAAAAAAATTGTAAAACATTTAATTGGGCAAAGTAAAAGTGCAATTCCAAATAAAATTGATGCAACCATAACGACAACAAAAACTTGTGGAGTTTTAATGGGTTCACATATAAAACTAGCTGTGTCCACTCTATAGAGCAGCAGAGAAAGAGAGAAGGAAAACATTAAGTAGGCTAATCTTTGGAAACAATGTCCGGTAATTCGCATTTATGACAAGAAACTCCATTTGAATTTCCCTTGTTTTAGTTAAATTCAAGTATCGAACAAATAAATCGATAAGGTCAGTGTTGCAGTACAATTGTACAGTAATCGATATATTATGGCAATCAAGCAGGCCAGCACCATTTGAGTAGGGTACGGCAACATATGAAAGGCCAAGCAAATCTTACGAAGAGTTCAGGAGGGAAGCACAAGAAAAAAAATCGTCGCAATTGTTTAAGATATAGTCCTTTTTACAAGTAAAAAAGATGGGAAAGAAAAACAGTAAGTACTGTGATTAATTTGATGATATATAATAGATGGCAAAACGCCCAACTACAACCAAATCAAAATGAAATTTACAGAATATAAGAAAGACGAGTCAGCAGCTCCAGCGCAAGCTCCGCAACAGCAGCAGCAGCAACAACAAGGTAAGTAATTGAAAATTGTGAAATGCATTCAGATGTGCATGTGTGTGTAACTATTTTCCCTTATATGTGTGTATGTTATTGTATGTATCGAAAAATCTAAAACTTGCGTACTACTTTTTGGGGTAATCACACGAATAAAATTTGCACAAACCAAACCTGTTTATCAGTAAACTATTCTACGAGAATTATATTCGCGTTATCTGTATTTAACTCAACTTTGTATTTAAGGGGAATCACAAAACTTGAATATAGGTTCAAAATGCACACGTCATACAAAATTGAATTTCCTTAACGAACATATTCACTTTTAGCTGCACCTGCAGCGGGTGCAGGACCCCGTCTGCCAGCTGCCGATGATAGTCAGCAGCGCCCACCACAGGGTGGCCAATTGGGTGGAAGTCAGCAGCGCCCACCACAGGGTGGCCAATTGGGTGGAAGTCAGCAGCGCCCCCAGCAAGGCGGTCAACAGGGTGGCTTTCAGCAGCGCCCCCAGCAAGGCGGTCAACAGGATGGCTATCAGCAGCGCCCCCAGCAAGGCGGTCAACAGGGTGGCTATCAGCAGCGCCCCCAGCAAGGCGGTCAACAGGGTGGCTTTCAGCAGCGCCCCCAGCAAGGCGGTCAACAGGGTGCCTATCAGCAGCGCCCCCAGCAAGGCGGTCAACAGGATGGCTATCAGCAGCGCCCCCAGCAAGGCGGTCAACAGGGTGGCTATCAGCAGCGCCCCCAGCAAGGCGGTCAACAGGGTGGCTATCAGCAACGGCCTCCGCAGGGCGGTAAGGAACGCCCCCAGCAAGGCGGTCAACAGGGTGGCTTTCAGCAGCGCCCCCAGCAAGGCGGTCAACAGGATGGCTATCAGCAGCGCCCCCAGCAAGGCGGTCAACAGGGTGGCTATCAGCAGCGCCCCCAGCAAGGCGGTCAACAGGATGGCTATCAGCAGCGCCCCCAGCAAGGCGGTCAACAGGGTGGCTTTCAGCAGCGCCCCCAGCAAGGCGGTCAACAGGGTGCCTATCAGCAGCGCCCCCAGCAAGGCGGTCAACAGGATGGCTATCAGCAGCGCCCCCAGCAAGGCGGTCAACAGGGTGGCTATCAGCAGCGCCCCCAGCAAGGCGGTCAACAGGATGGCTATCAGCAGCGCCCCCAGCAAGGCGGTCAACAGGGTGGCTTTCAGCAGCGCCCCCAGCAAGGCGGTCAACAGGGTGCCTATCAGCAGCGCCCCCAGCAAGGCGGTCAACAGGATGGCTATCAGCAGCGCCCCCAGCAAGGCGGTCAACAGGGTGGCTATCAGCAGCGCCCCCAGCAAGGCGGTCAACAGGGTGGCTATCAGCAGCGCCCCCAGCAAGGCGGTCAACAGGGTGGCTATCAGCAGCGCCCCCAGCAAGGCGGTCAACAGGGTGGCTGTCAGCAGCAACCACAGAGTGTGGCCAAGGGCCCGCCACTGCCCCAAACTGGCAACATAAAGCGTGGCACTCTGGGCCGCGCCGGCTTTGTGGGTATTAATTATTTGGATGTGGACTTAAGCAAGATGCCAAGCACTGCATATCACTATGATGTTGTTATAGTGCCGGAGCGTCCAAAGAAATTTTATCGCAACGCCTTTGAGGTGTTCCGAACACAGCATTTGAATAACGCCATAGCCGCTTTCGATGGACGCAAATCGTGCTATTCTGTAGACAAGCTGCACAACACAACAGGCGAAGTGCAGGCAAGTGAAACCCAATAATTTTCTTGTTTTATTTAATTGAAAACCCGACTGGTTTCTTTGCAGGTGGCAGATAGTCATGGCCGCACCGTCCGCTATACCTTAACCATTAAAGAGACGGATAAGTCGCTAGTGGAGCTCAGCTCACTTCGAAGCTATATGAATGACAAGATCTATGACAAACCAATGCGTGCACTGCAATGTCTAGAGGTGGTGCTTGCCGCTCCCTGTCATTCGCGTGCCATACGTGCGGGTCGCTCGTTCTTCAAGAACTCTGGTAACGGCGAGGGTTACGACCTTGGAGACGGTTATGAGGCTTTGGTTGGACTGTATCAGACCTTTGTGCTGGGTGATAAGCCATTTGTAAATGTCGATGTCTCACACAAGTCGTTCCCAAAAGCAATGTCTATGATTGAATACCTGGAGCGCTTTGAAATAATGTCGAAAATAACTTCAACTACAAGGCTTAATAATACTTATCGCATAATACAATTTATAAAGGGCATTAATATCGTGTACGAGCCACCGAAATGTTTTGGTTCTGCTCCTCGTGCATACAAAGTTAACGGGCTGTCGCTACAGTCGGCCAGCGACCAAAAGTTCGAAATGGAAGGCAAAACGTTGACCGTCAATGACTACTTTCGTTCACGCAACTATAACTTGAAATTTCCCCAGCTGCCGTGTCTCCACGTTGGCCCACCAGCAAAGAATATCTACTTGCCCATTGAGCTGTGCCGCATTGAAGGGGGACAGGCGCTAAATGTGAGTAATATAATGAAAACATTCACAAACATCCTTCTGATGCACATCATTTTTTGATAACGCAGCGCAAGGACGGCGCAAATCAGGTTTCACAAATGATACGTTATGCAGCCACACCAACAGACGAACGCAAGAAAAAAATAATGGATCTATTGCAATACTTTCAACACAATAGTGATCCGACTATCAGTCGATTTGGTATACACATTGGTGCTGATTTTATTACGGTGAATAGTCGTCTGCTGCCTGCACCGCGGCTGGAGTACAAGAATAAAAAATTTGCCTTTCCATCAAATGGAGCATGGCGCATGGATCAATGTCATTTTCTTAATGCAACAGCAAAGGCTCACAAGTGGGCTATACTCCATTGCGAATCAGCACGCATGCATTACAACAAAGTTTGCGACTTCATGGAAATGGTGAGAAGTCTTTGTGTAATCTCTGGGACATCTATAGTTATTTGATATGTATGCTCTTTAGGTCGTTCAACAATGTGGCTTCGTGAAAGTTTGTTTGGAGCCCCAGGCAGATATTCGTACTTTCAGAGATGAACGTAATTTAGATGATCACTTCAAGGATCTGAAGAGCAAGCGATACGACTTGGTATTTGTTATCATACCATCACGGGGAGCCACCTATGAGGTTATCAAGCAGAAAGCCGAATTGCAGCATGGCATTTTGACGCAGTGCATCAAGCAGAATAATGTGGAACGTCGCCTCAACGCTCAATTAGTAGGAAATATCTTGTTGAAGGTCAATTCCAAGCTGAATGGCATCAATCATAAGCTCGAGGATAATCCACAAACAAAGCTATCGAATGTTATGTATTTGGGTGCAGATGTCACTCATCCTTCGCCGGATCAACGTGATATACCAAGTGTGGTGGGTGTGGCCGCATCACATGACGTTTACGGCGGCTCATTCAACATGCAATATAGATTGCAATGCGGAGCCGGCGGCGGTGCAGCCGAGGAAATTTTAGACATGGAGTCCATTGTAACCGAACACTTGCGTGTCTATCAACAGCATCAGAAACGCTACCCTGATCACATTATATATTATCGTGATGGCGTCAGCGATGGTCAATTCATGAAAATCAAGAACCTTGAACTGAAAGGAATCTATCGGGCTTGTGACAAGGTAAACATTCTATCTATGTAAAGTATGCGAAAAAGCTAATGCCATTTTCTTGGTTTTCAGCTGAAGATTAAGCCACATATGTGTTGCATTATTGTTGTAAAGCGTCATCACACACGCTTCTTCCCAAAGGAGCCGCCGCATCCAAGAAATAAATTCAACAACGTTGAGCCTGGCACTGTGGTCGATCGAATCATTGTTCACCCGAACGAGATGCAATTCTTCATGGTTAGCCATCAGTCCATTCAGGGCACTGCGAAGCCCACACGCTACAATGTTATTGAGAATACGGCCAAAATAGATATTGATATATTGCAACAATTGACATATAATTTGTGCCACATGTTTCCACGTTGCAATCGCTCCGTCTCATATCCAGCTCCAGCCTATTTGGCTCACTTGGCTGCAGCGCGTGGACGAGTCTACATATATGGGTTAGTAACACTAAACAAGTTTGAATACTTTATATTTCTAATCGTATTCTTTATTTAATAACAGCTCTCGTCTATGCCGATCACCAGAGGAGGAATATAAGCGGCGCATGATTAATGCAGATTTTCTGACAACTAACCCTATGTATTTCGTTTAAAAAAAAGCAAAGACTAAATCTTCATTATATTCATTGAATGTTTTTTATTTTATCACATTTTTTAAACTATATAAATTATACAATTATAGACATAACCAGTTTTAAATAGAACCGACTGTCTATGCTTTAGTTGTTTTGTAATAATTAAAACAACTCTTGATTGTGAAATTATGTTAAACAAATTAAAGAGATTATATATAAAATAATAAAGCAACTGCAATTGGTTCACACAGCATTACTAACATTGATATATTGTCACTGCTTTTTACATCGCATCGAAGTGGAATCTATGTGACTCTTGCAAACGTTCCTGCCTGTCTTCGCGCTTTTCCTTAACATACAGAACCAATATGATGAGCACAATCACGAGACAAGTGCCACCTAATGCGACGACGCTTGTCAGGATTAGCTTGCTAGGCGTGACGAAGAGCAACGCCTTCCAATGCTGTGGCTGGTCCAGCGGCTTGGGTACCACTATGATCTGCGAATTGGGTATGAGCTGCGTCCAGCTGTGCCACTTACCGTACAGACCCACCACCAACTGATCCACGAAGTTGGGCGTGCGACCCAAACCAAAGCAGGTGTAAGGCAATTGAAGTGCAAAATAGGATGATTGAGGTAGTTGGACACTGCTGCCACTCTGCTGATCGCCATCTTGTGTGGTTGTGTTGTAAGTTATGATCGGGCCAGGTAAATTGCTGCCATACGTGCGTTTCTTTCGACCTAACGGTGTGCGCAATGTGGGATTCAGCGGATTCACCAGCCCAGTCAGCACGATCACCTTGACAAAGTTGGCATCGTAGTCGAGGGTGTTGCGGAACGCAAGTGGACGATAATTGCCATTCTGCTGCTTTTCCATGAGTATAACGTCAAGAACGCCATCCTGATAGAAGTCGTAGAATGCACCAGCCACTGTATTATTGCCCATGGGTGTCAACGCAGACCAGTGTACTTCGAAAGTGCGCTTGAATTTCTTGCTGCACGTTTTGCAGGCGATGTTCTCTAGGAGGAACGTTTGCATCACCGGTTTTGCCACACTCAAGGGTTGCAGCGTGACAAGCAAATCTGGATAGCCATCAAGATTGAAGTCACCACTGCGTGCAGTAATAGTCTTCAAATACACATCATTGGGATCTGGTGGCACAAATGCCCAGGTTACGCCATGTGGATCCTTAAAGTTCACATGGACATCGTAGAACATGTGTCCATCGTGCACAAATATTGTTGAGTTTTTGCAATTCTCTTGCACACAAAAGGGAACGACAATATTTTGCACGCCACGCAGTTCGAAGTCCATGAAAACTGCTTGGCCAACAACGTAATCGTTGGTGCCCACCAGTTCGTAGGTGATGGAATGCTGATAGCTAAAATTCTCCTGGCCATTTTTCTCATTGATGCCATACCAGATCTCGTACGAGGTCTTCGTTTGTAGAAACAGATCGGCCAAATAATCTCCATTTAGGTCCAAATAGGCGTTCGCGTTCGGGATTATCAGTGTTTGAGCTGTGCCGCCAGTGGGCATTGCCTGGTGTGTGACTGTTGGTGGCTCACGCTTGTTGTTAAATATCCAGAAACTGCGGGTATCATTTGGATCTAATCCATATAGATCAATGATCATATCGTGATTGAAATCGAGAGTCATTGCCTCGCCTCTTGTTTGGATGATGGGCTCTCGTGAACAATTCAACATCGTGGTGTTGCCCCAATTGATATAGACGTCATAGATATCTTTGCTTCTCTCCACATTAACCATCACATCCATCAAAGCATCACCATCAAAGTCTCCAGGTGTAACGCTTACAATCCTTTTGTCATTAAAGTAGCAGAAGGGGCCCAAGCGTAGTAGTGGTTCCGTATCAGCTCCTGTTGAATAATCATCAGATTAATTATCAGATATTCATCATAAAATATATGACGCACAGAGAAGAGCATCTGCTACGTAATGAACATTGCATATTTTTACAAACGTACACATACATATGCACTACTTTAAAATTGCCTTTGTAAACACTTTCAAAGGTTGTAACAAATACGCACCATATAATATCTGTAGCATTTTTCTGTCATCTTGAATGACGAATATGTCAGTAAGTTCATCGGAATTAAAGTCACCAAAAGCTGCCACAACACCTTCCTTAACATTACCAAACACAATATTTGTAATATCGCTGGCTTCGCTTACGGCTACATAGAGCAGTACCAGGAGCAGACATTGGGAATGCATCTGGTCGATTTTCGCAACTTTTACACTAACGATTTGCGTCTACTTTGTTTTTTATATTCTATTTTTGTTGTTGCTCTCTGAAAATCAATACTGAGTCAGATGTAAATTATCGATAGGTATTAAGTGCTGCCACTTGCGGTGTTGCCAAATAGTTGCGAATAAATCGATACATAAGGCATCTCTGGGTTTCGACGGTAGAAACAACATCGCAGAGAAAACTTTGCTATTAACTAGTAAATAATAACAAATACAATACACAAACCATGGTAAGTATATAGCACAATGCAAATATATAAATTTACATGTGTTATTTGTACGTTTGAGTGCAGACAGATGTTGTTTGTTTTGTTTGCTGCTGCTTCTTCTAGCACAGAAGCGCCAGCGCACGCACAAATTGTAGTTGGTGTATTTATGCAATTCGCATTTACTTTTAATTTGTGTGCATGTATTGGTGGTTGGCAAACAATATTCATATTATTTCTTTTGCAGAACAAACTAAAGTCAAGCCAGCATCGGGACAAGGTGAAGAAATTTATCTCACTAACACAGACGGGTGAACAGACAGCCATTTTTTGCCTGCAACAGAATGATTGGAAAATGGATTTGGCCAGCGATAACTATTTTCAGAATCCTGAATATTATTATCGTGAGCTTGATCGAAAGCGTATCGAGCAGTTATTTATGCGCTATCGGGATCCAACCGATGCCCAAAAGATCAGCTCCCCAGGTGTCATAAGATTTCTTGAGGATCTGGAATTGAGCCCCGACTCAAAACTTGTGCTCATCATTGCTTGGAAATTCCATGCTGAGGTGCAGTGCGAATTCTCGCGAGATGAATTCATTAATGGCATGTGTGACTTAGGCATAGACAGCATAGAGAAGCTCAAGTCAAAATTACCATTACTGGAACAGGAATTGAATGATGCGGGAAAATTTAAGGATTTCTATCATTTTACTTTCAACTATGCAAAGGATCCAGGCCAAAAAGGCATTGATCTGGACATGGCCATTGCGTATTGGTGCATTGTGCTCAGCGATCGTTTCAAATTCTTGGGCATCTGGTGCAAGTTCCTCGAAGAGAAACACAAACGTGCAATTTCAAGGGACACTTGGAATCTTTTGCTGGATTTTGCCACCAACATCGATGATCGGATGAGCAACTATGACTCGGAGGGCGCTTGGCCTGTGCTTATTGACGATTTTGTCGAATGGTGTCAAGAGAATAACCACCTTGCCACAGATCAGACGCAGCACACGCAGCAATCAACGTCCCAGAAGAACATATCAAGCGCTTACCAGACTTCGCATAGTACAAACATGAATTATGGCTAACGATTGTTGCTTTATATATACATATATTCTTATTAATTATAATTTTTTTTGCTTTTTATTCGGATTATTTTAAATAATGAAGATAATAAGCAATGCGAGTTAATTTACAATAACACTTCGAAAAAAGAAAGTAAATAAAATTAGTAAATGTAACCAGCAAATATTCGTTTTTGAGTTGTAGTTAAGGACGATACAATACTTAAGCGATATTTCGATGCACAACTTATCGATTTAATATTCTGGTTTATCATCCCCAACTTTGTGAAGTGTGACCGTAGCGTACAAAAGGCAATTGATACTGTAACAACGATTTTTCGTCGCTCTGGTCGCTTATTAGAATATACAATTATTTAATAGTTTATTATTGCTGTGCGTGCGGTGCACGTAAGTGTGCGAACCCGCTATACTTGCAACGTATATCATGTAATGTGCAAAAATATACAAAGTACATGTAACGTGTGTAACAATCAATTGTTGCCCACACTCACCGTTTGTGTACGAGTGTGTGTGACCAAGAGTGCGTGTCTGTGCGTTTGTTTGCGTGTGTGCGTACAAGGCAGCCAGTGGACGGCCCATAAGGAGTCTACACCTATCATCACACACACACAAACGGCAATAAGGATGTATTTGCATTGCCTCTGCCACTGAGCAAGGTGTGGAGTAGTCGGCGCAGAATGACAAATGTATGTGTCATTGTTGTTGTTGGGGCCTGAGAACGCAATTAAGTGCAATTCTGTGTTTTTACTGTGCGTCAAAATCCTTTAAATAGAACCCCACCAACAACTGCCCTTGGTTGCTTAAACAACCACTTGACAAATAATAAAACAAATTAAATTATCATGCGAATAAAATTCAAACAAATATACTGTGGGACCTATGCAAACAAACACACACACACACACACTCGCTTTTACAGGCTGAGTTGTATATATGTAAATAAGTGGCACTAAACATATACAAATAAAATAAAAACAAACCCCAACACTTAACTGATAACCGCAGACCCAGTCGTCGACGTCGTGACTACGACAACTAGCGACGCACGATCGGTACACGGTCTGTCTCTACATAAACTGTAAATACCCTACATCAAGGCTTAACAGTTAACCCCACCCCATTACAAATGCAACGGTAAACGTCGCGTTTTCGATTTTTAAAAACCATATTTATTAATACAAATATGTACATCAATATGACTTCTATTACAGTACAGTGTATACTCGTAAATAAGAACCTTCACAAGCAACTAGATAGTAAAACAGGCTATGTATATATTTTGATAGGAAAAAAAACTGTTTTGGTTTTGTATTTGAATCTTAATTAAATAATAATATATGTTCTTCATGCCTATATACCACTAAATTTTTTATAGTTTTTTTTCATTCAATTTGAGTCTTATTTTATATACATATACATATTTATGTATATACATTTGTGAAGTCTGCTTGGTCTGTTTTGATGTTGTTTTTTTTGATAAACGAGCAAATCGGATAAATAATTTGCAACACGATTTCATGCCTTGTACTTGTTAATTTTTCAAGTCAATAAAGATAAAAATAGCAACATGTCCGAAGACTTTGTTAGCTCACTGTATGCATACATGCATATATATTTGTGATTACTTTTTTAGCAGGTGAACTATTTTATATGTACCATATACAAATATATATATATATATATATATATATATATATATATATATATTTATATATTATAAATTTATATATATATATATATATATATATATATAAATTTATAATGAAATTTCTATTGACGTGTGTGAAAATGAAAATTCAACAAAAATTATTTCGAATTTTTTGTTTGCTTGCGTGTGTGTGTGTGTATATGTTTGCGCATGTGTGTTTATTGTAGCAATTGCCAGTGTCTGGGGCAACGTTGTCAGCTCCATGCTAATTATTGTTTTTGGTCATTTACAGCAGCCACAGAAGCAGCAGCAGTAGACGTAGCTGCAGCAGAAGCAGCAGCAACATCAGCAGCCGCCATGCCAAACCACAGCAAAGGCAATTATAGCAACAACAACAGCAGCATCAACAACAACAACACCAACAGCCACAACAAAATGCAAGTCTTTTAAGTGCGCTGATCAAGTAACGCGTAAACATCATGAGCCGTCAGGAGACCTTAGCTTCCAAGACGTCGTCGATGTCGCCAGGAGCGGCAGCAGCATCAACAGCAACATCAACATCAACATCAACATCAACAACATCAACAACAACAGCGAATACAACATGCAGCAAAATATCAACATCAACACCGCAAAAACGAGATGAATCCACGCAGGAGCAACAGCAAGAGTTCATTGATCGAAGTTTGGCCAGTGAAATTGGTGCAAGCGATGCTAGCGCCATATGCGACTTGTCCATCAACAGCAGCTGCAGTGATGCCAGTCCCGTGGCCAAGCGTCAGTTAAACTCTGCCAATTTATCTCGTATACGTCCACAGTCCAGTTACTCTGCGCGTGTACTCATCTTTGAGGATTCGGATCATGATGCAGCCACTGCGGCAGCGGCGAATGCAAGTGCTTTGGCGCATGCTCAGTCGGCGGTAGGTAGTTCGTTTAACGCCAGTGCCGCTGATGCTAGCAGCGGCGTTGAAATGCTGCCTGCCTCGCCGGCAAAGCAGGCCGCCAACGAAAACAGCAATAGCAATAGCAATAGCAATAATGGATCCTCACTAATACGCAATCTCAATTTAACTAAGAGCTCGTCGGGCGGCCTGTCAGGCAGCTCCAGTTCACTGCACTCGCGCGGCTATACGGCGCTGCTGCGCAAGATCTCTTATCAGCAGCATACGAACTCCCTACGCGCTGTCAGCAGCGGTAAGTTTTGTGTCCCCCAGTTTCTCAACTTTGCGGTATTAATATTATTATTTGAATTTTGTAGAAGCGTCCAATTTGTTGCGTATGCGCCATTCCTCGCTGGGCAAATCAGCGCCTTGCCTAACTGGCAACTATTTTCGCCATGAGCTCTGCAGTGGCTCAGGGCCTGGGGCAGCTTCAGCTGCAGCAGCAGGTGCTGGAGGTATTACTTCAACAGCTTCGCCTGGTCTGAATATCTCACGCTCTGGCAGTGGCATTGCTCTGTCCAAGCATCATCATTTACATGGCGTCGTCATGCGTGGGTCTTCTTCGGGTACTGGCAGCGGCGGGTCTAGCGGTGTGGCTCACCATCGTTTGAGTCTGGTCACCAATGCTGCTGCCATAGCTGGTGGCTCCCGTGCTCATTCGCCCTATTCGGCAAGTCCGGCGGATAGTCCGCGACTTAATTCGCCCATGCCGTTTGCATTTGCGCCCATCAAACGCATCGCCTCTTGTCGCGGTGTCGCCGATGGCAGACGGTGGTCGGTAGCATCGCTGCCCTCCTCCGGTTATGGCACCACACCAGGCAGCTCTAATTTATCGGTAAATATTATATTCCATTTTAATCTTAAAAAAAGTAATAATACCATTCATTTGTCTGTGTAGTCCCAATGCTCCAGTCAGGAGGCGTTAAATCACTTGCCCCACAATTTGCCGCCTGGTCAGGAGGATGCAGCTGCTGTTGCAGCTGGTGCCTGCTGTGCGGAACATTTGAAGCAGCACTGTCCCAAACATTGTGCTTTATTGCTCGCTGCGCACAAGCCACATCAACAGCAACCACAGCATGCGCCAAAGCTCGCACAGCTGCAGCCACAGCCTTTAAAACCACCGATCGCATGCATTAATTGTTGCGCTGATTTAAGCGTCGCCTGCAGTGGCAATGCTGCTGCCAATGCTAATGCTGCTAATGCATCGATGACGTCCTTGCCGGGCGGTCGCATGTCGCCCTGTTTTCGTCCACGCTCCCGTTCGTTATCCAGCCCATCCCGTTCGCCCGTTGTGGACAATGAGATAGCTGTTATGAATACGTTGTATAAGGAACGCTTCCCTAAGGCCACACAGCAAATGGAGGAGCGGATGAAGCACTTCATCAATGAGAACAAGAGCGCAGCATGCAATAGTTTTCGGGACTCACAGCCCATTGTACGGTAAGTGTTGATGGGATATTACAAATTTATAAATGTCATAAATATAATTGCTTGCAACATTTCAGTTTTGTACACCATCAAGTGCTGGAGATGGCTCGTGATTGTCTACACAAATCTGAGGCTAAGCTGATTACGTCACAGTACTTTTACGAGCTAAGCGAGAATCTGGAGCGTCTGCTGCTGGAGACCAAGGAGAAATCCCCGGAAGCTGCAGCTGAGCTAAGTGGCGTTATCAAAAAATTGTTGCTGATTATATCGCGGCCAGCGCGTTTACTCGAATGTCTCGAATTCGACCCGCAAGAGTTTTACGAGCTGCTGGAGGCAGCCGAAGGTCATGCCAAAGCCATGCCTGTAATTAAGGCGGATATACCGCAGTATATTATACACAAGCTTGGCCTCAATCGTGATCCCATCGCGGAGCTGCAGCAAGAGCTGCGCGAGACGCAGCAAATGTGCTCAGAGCAGGTAACTGGCGGGGACAGGATGCTGGATATGCAGCCAGCAGCCGGTGCACTATTGCTCAACTCACCATTAACCTGTGCGGCCAAGCAGCTGAGCAACCTCACACTGGATGGTATAACATTGGAAACTGGTAATTCGGGTGGCAGTGGCACCTGCACGCCTCAGCCGACGCTACCGCAGCAACCGCCGCAAACGCCAGTAGGCTGTGATACCCAACCGACGCCCAGTTTTGCATTAGCCATAAGCCAGCTGAATACGCCAGCAACGGAGACAACTGCTGCACAACAGCAACAGATGCAGCAACAGCAACAACAGCAGCCGCTGCCTCACGAAAACGACTTTGACATTGCCAAGCTGATCTCAAATGGTGCCTATGGCGCCGTCTATCTGGTTAAGCACAAGACAACGCGCCAGCGCTTCGCAATGAAAAAGATCAACAAAAATAATCTCATACTGCGGAACCAGGTGGAGCAGGTGTTTGCCGAGCGGGATATACTGTCGTTTGCCGACAATCCTTTTGTCGTTAGCATGTACTGTTCTTTTGAGACTAAGAAACATCTCTGCCTGGTAATGGAGTATGTGGAGGGCGGTGACTGTGGCACGCTGCTGAAGAACATTGGCCCGTTGCCCGCTGACATGGCGCGCTTCTATTTCGCCGAAACAGTATTAGCCGTGGAGTATCTGCATAGCTATGGCATTGTCCATCGAGATCTCAAGCCGGACAATTTGTTAATCACGGCTCTCGGTCACATTAAGCTCACCGATTTTGGACTCTCCAAAATGGGTCTCATGTCTTTGGCCACCAATCTGTATGAGGGTTACATTGATTCAGAGACTCGGCAGTTTTCCGATAAGCAGGTGCATCTTGATTTGTCTATATATGTATTTATGGATTATTAAAACTATTTCCTCCTCGGCAGGTCTACGGCACACCTGAGTATATAGCACCCGAGGTAATATTGCGTCAGGGCTATGGCAAACCCGTCGACTGGTGGTCAATGGGCATCATATTGTATGAATTTCTTATTGGCTGTGTGCCGTTCTTCGGTGAGACCGCCGAGGAGCTGTTCGCGCACACCGTTAACGACGATATTGAGTGGCCGGACAGCGAAGATTGGCCCGTGCAATCAGAAGCGAAAGATATAATATCACAGCTTCTGCAGCAAAACCCGCGAGATCGTTTGGGCAGTCAGATAGGTGCTTTGGAAGTGAAGGAACACGTTTATTTCCAGGGCATGGACTGGAATTCGTTGCTCCGCCAGAAGGCAGAGTTTGTGCCGCAGCTGTCGCACGAGGATGATACAAGCTATTTTGATAGTGCGTATAAAACAGTTCCATCTGAAGCGCAGCTTTGCTTGATTACTAACTAATCTCTTGTAATAATTTCAACAGCTCGCATGGATCGCTACAATCACGATTTGGGTGGCGAAGATACCGATGACACCGACGATACGCCAGTTTTTGGTAGCTTTAATTCCTATACGCCACAATATCGAAAGCAGCACTATAGTTGGTCTCGCAATGCAACTGCCACGACAACGGATAGCACCAGAGCAACACCAACCACATTGCCCTCGCGTGCGCAGGAAAATGCAACGGCAACATCGAGTATGGCAGCCACAGGAGCAATGCCCAAACTGATGACTTCTAATGCAAGCCAAGAGGGCGTGGTGAATAAGTTCTTGAACACACCTCAGTTGCGTAAGCTGGATGTGAGTATCTATAAGAAGAATAATAATAAGAATATTTACCTATTGCTCTGTTAATATATCACACACTATTTAATTTGCAGCTCTCGTCCAGTTGTTTGAAAGTACCCTCCACTCCGGATAGTGAGTTTTTGCCGGAACTGTTGCATAACGTCACCATTGGCAATGATGCTGAGTTGCGCATGCTCAAGCATTATTTGCAGCAGCCAACGCCAGCGGCTGTGCGTCTAAATCAGCGACACAGTATGCCACCGAATACAACAACCATTATAAGCACTCCGGCCACACCGCCGCCACCGACACAGTCGTCCACAGCAACGCCGCAACCAACGAGCGTGAGCAGCATATCTCGTAGTACGCCGGAGAGTTCACAAACGGACAGCGATGATTTTTCGCCGCAAATCAATCGCAAGCGCAAGGGCGTTTGTGCGCGTGATATATTGCCACGGTTCTCCATCTCAATTGAAGATGAAACCATCAGCGCGGGTAGCTCCTCCACGGAAAACATGAATATACGCGAGCAGTCGCCTCTAGCTCTACAACATCAGCCAAAGTCTATGGACAGCAGCAGTGGACCCAATTCATATGGTATGAAGCATCATCGTTCACGTTCTATTGTTAAATCCGCTTCGGCACTGGGTCTGTCGCTTATGTCCTCGTTGGACAATACGCAACTTGCGGCACAGCTTTGTGGTATTCAGTCCCCGGGCAGTGCAGGCGGTGGCGGCAATGGGTCAAGCACCGCTAGTTCAAGAGACACATCGCCTTGTCGCGAACTTTCGCCACTGGTGACAAATCTGAAACCACCCATTATAATACGGCGTGGGCCACGTGGCTTTGGCTTCACTGTGCACACTATACGCGTCTATTATGGGGACACCGATTTCTATACTATGCACCATTTGGTGATGGCCGTGGACGAGGGAAGTCCCGCATTTGAAGCAGGACTCCGACCCGCCGATCTTATCACTCATGTTAACGGCGAGCCCATCCAGGGCCTATTCCACACGCAGGTGCTGCAGTTATTGCTGAGTGGTGGTGAGCATGTGACACTGCGAGCCACGCCTCTGGAGCATACTAGCATACAAAGCGGTGGTCGCAAGCGTGACCTCATGCAGAGCAAATTGGCCAAGAAAGGTGTTAATCGCCAGAAGAAGCAAACAAAACGTGAACACGACAAGAAGCGTAAGACGTCGCTATTCCGACGCATAAGCAGCAAGCGAGCAAACGCCGAGATGCAACAGGTGAGAAAATATAGCTATAAATTAACTGATTATTAATGCCATATATTCTTGTTTGCAGTACTCGGCGGGCACCAGTTCACCCACCACACCATCTGCGCGGAATTTATCACCGTTGGACTCATCGTATCACAGTAGCTGCTGTCCATCGGCAGCTAATTCATCATCGCAATCTACTTCGCCGTCATCTTCGTCACCTAACACGCCCACCGGTTCAAGTGGTGGTAACGGCGCTGGTAATTGCAGTGGAGCCAAGTCTATTGTCGCACCACCTATCACAGCTTTGAGCGTGCAGCTGCCTTTGCCGCCGGCCAGTCCAGTTGTGTTGCTGCCGCATGTGGGCGCTGTTGTAGGCAATAGTGCCACTTCTGTGGGCAATGTGCCTGGTTAGTCCTTAACTTACATTTGAAAGCTTTGTAGCAACTAAAATTAACAATTTCTTATTTAGTTTCACCCACTGGCGTTGTTCCGCAGTTGTATCAGCGTCCCTCTACTTTGCATGGTCTTAAGCACAAGTTACACGCAGCATCCAGTGGCGCTGGTGGTTCAACTACCAGCGGCTCCGCTGGCAGTGGTCTAAAGACGCTTCACACTTCGAGCAACAATGCGCTGCCCAATCGACGCAAGTCTGTGGGTCACATACCGCTATCGCCTTTAGCGCGAACACCATCTCCATCGCCTTTGCCGTCGTCACCCACTCGCTCGCCATCGCCTTTGGCGTTCCCTCTGGTGGGCCATCAACCTGGCGCATCCAATACCACGCAATCATATAGTCCAGGCAGTACACTGCCCACGTTGCAGACGGCCGTGAGTGCTACCAACAAGAAAGCTGGCTTTGCACGTACTAAGTCCGCTGAGCCGAGCTCGCCGTTGCTGAGACGCGCTTTGTCCCCGGATCGACTACATCCACGCAGCGCTGAGACAAAAATATCGCCGTTATGCTGCTCTCCACCCATTAAACAGCAAACCCAACATCATCAGCATCAGCGTGTCGTGGCAGCAACATGGCGACCGGCTGGCGGTGCAGTTGCAACTGGAGCACAACAACAGCAACAACAGGGGAATATCAGCACTGAGGAATCTCAAAGGCAAACGACCTCAGCAATAACAACAGCTGTAGCTGGTGGTACAGCCACATCTTCAGTTGATAATCAAGCATCGAACAATGTAGCCATAAATAGCAACAGCTGTGAGCCTTTGCCACGAATTGCCGAAGAGAAGGATTCGCCCACTAGTATACAAGACAGTAGCGGTGCAGCGGAGGTATTTTTGCCGGCTATTGAGGAGCATGGTGAGAGTGAGACATCGTCACCGCCACAAACACTGGAGAAGCCATCATCCAAAGTCGATCAGCCGGATAAGGCCAAAAAGGCCGAACAGGGTAAGTTATGAATATAATGGAGATAGATATGATGTACCAATTTCAGTTTTAATCGCAGGTAAAATCAGTGCGTCTAAAAAATCTTCGATTACAACGACTAGGCCAATAAGTGCCAGTGATTTCCGCAAGGAATTAACAACAGCAACAACAACATCAACATCAATAACAGGCAAGGGATCTATAGCTTCACCAACAACAACAGACGCGACTTTGGCTGCCAAGCAAAAAAAGTAGCGTCACAGAACTGGATGTTTATGTTTTAAAATTTAATGTTTAGCTTATCTAAATGTTCAGCGTAAAATATTAACAAAACGTAATGAACGTAGGAGAAGCGATCAGAAAACTATTTGCATGATGAATTGATAACTATGTTTGAGGGATTGTGTTTTGTGTCGGCCAGCTTGAATGCCGATTTTGTGCAGAACCATATTCAAAATTAGCTAAAACAAAATGAAAAAAAAAAACAAAAAAAAATTAGAAAATTGTGGAAGAATATAGTAGTATCTCGTATCTTACAAAATTCCTAATACAAATTGTAAATTAGTAAAAAAAATACATATGCAAAATATTCCAACTAAAAGGACAATGTACTAGGAATGTAAAGACGGCAGCATGCAATTATCAATATTGTATTTGTATATAAATGTATAACATTGATAGAATTAAAGTCTAGTAAGAAAACGGAAACGCCCAAACACCTGCTGGTAACGGCTGAGTAAAAAGTAATGGTAAAATGCGTAAATAACAAAAAGTTGCTTGCTTGGTTAAAAATATAAAAGCCTTTTTGCGAATCTATAATCTTTGCCGAATTCAATATATATATATATTGTATTAAATAAATGTTATATGTGTGTGTATTCAAATGCTTCAAAACCAATATTTGAATGTCGGTGTTGTGCGCCAATTTACGGATTTCTACATATATCGTGGAGTACGGTCACACTGCTGTCGATTAAGTGGTCTATATGCAGTTCCCATACGATAACACGTCTATCGATAACACATTTGCCAGCTGTGCAGTTTTGTACGTAAATACTCTAAATTCACGCCTAGTTTTCTGAAAAATGCTTCCCAAATTGAGAATATCTGCTTTTCTGCTTAAGGTAAGCTATTTATATGCAAGGTCATGATCTGTTTGTGACTTGATTTTGTATTTTGAAGCGATTGGAGCGCGTCAAGCTGCAGTGCAGTGGTTGTTTATACGGCGTATTTTATGGAGAGAGCACTTTGCTGCTATTGAGCTTTAACGTTGAGTCAAGTGTGGGTCAACTGAACTATGAACAAATACAGCACAAATTCCCAGCAGAACTAGATTTATGTGGCTTGGTTAAATTTGGTGACTGTACTGATACAGAAGCTCATCTTAACGAGATAATTTCATCGGTGGACATTACGGATAATCCGATCCTGCTTCAATGTCAACTGGGCACACTTGTCGGATTGCGGGCATCCTTTTTTATTCATGGCAAACTAGAGAATGTGCCGTATGAAGTCATGGAGGCCTCACAGCTGTATAACGACTTTTGTTTCACACGGTTAAAGTGTGGTTTCTTCTTGCATACATTGCCTACGCCGGAAGCCATAGCCAAGGAGATGCATACGCTTCGGAAACGTGTTGCCGATGGCAGCCTGGTCTTTAATGTAGCACAAACGAAGATCTATGTGAGCAGCAACTGTGGAATACAGCATCAGAGTTTTAACTGTGATTCACTTATTGAGCAACTCATCACAGAGATTCCCACGCCAACGGACTCTTCTAACGGCGACAAGAAAAAGAAAACTGCTGCTGCTCCAGATCTGGCCAAATATTATGGCGCTGTAGGCTGTGCATACGATGTAATCAATATCGATGTCTTGCGCTCTCGCACACGCGAGCATGGAGCAGGGGATTCTTTGCCACATCCAGCATTAAGTGTTTGCATTACAAATGAGGATTCCATTAAGCAACAGGTGCCTCTGGAATTGGAAGCAATGGCGATTCTCTGCAAGAAGACTAAGCTGCTGCGATTGTACGATGTGCTTATAGAGAGCATTTGCCGCTCGTTGCGACTCTTCGAACAGTGCCTTAGCGAGCGACTTACCGAGCAGGAGGCAACATCGGAGGTTAAGCTGCTCGCGCCACTCACTTATCATTTTTACCCACAGGAATTTGGACATTTTTTAAGCTGTGCTTATCTGGAACAACTGGGCGATGATGAGCCTAGCGTACAGGAGAAACGTAAGCGACTCCATCGCCAGTTCGCATTGCCTGCCACGCGACCCTACTTCAGACGTGCTAACCAGTGTCGCTTCCAGAATGATATAGCTACTGTGGACCCGGCGACTTGGACGCCGCTGCTTAATACGCACCTTGGCCTACGGCCCAGTGGCGTGACTGATGGCAAAGAATACCTAGTGAATGGAAACTATCACTACTATCATTATTTGCAGCAGCAGGTACAGGACAAGGGCTGGGGCTGTGCCTATCGTTCGTTGCAAACGATTTGCTCTTGGTTCCTGCTGCAGGGCTACACTGAACGTCCGATACCCACTCACTTAGAGATACAGGAATATTTGCACAAAATTAACGACAAACCGGCCTCTTTTGTGGGTTCCTCGCAATGGATTGGCTCCACAGAGCTGAGCATGTGCTTGCAGGGCTTTCTCAATGTGGATTCCAAGATATTGCACGTTGCATCTGGAGCAGAGCTCTCGACAATATCATCGGAACTGGCCATGCATTTCCAAACCCAGGGCACGCCAGTAATGATCGGTGGCGGAGTGCTCGCACACACAATAATCGGCGTGGACTACTGTGTGCAAACGGGTCAGGCAAAGTTCTTGATACTTGATCCTCATTATACTGGAGCCGATGAATTGTCCACCATACAAATTAAGGGCTGGTGCGGGTGGAAGGGCTTGGATTTTTGGGATAAGAAGAGCTACTATAATCTCTGTATGCCACAGCGGCCGATTTTATATTAAACATTTCAATTATGCATTTCAAAATGAATTTTTTCCAATCTTCAATGTTTCGTGGTGTTAAATGAAATTAATGTAATTTATTATTATTATATATATATATATATATATATATATATATATATATATATATATATATATATATATATATATATATATATAAATGTATATGTATATATAATTTGTTTAAACTGGATTAGTCGATGTTAAATATAAACTCCCAGCTAATTTCATGCTTTGCCCAATCAACTTGCTTAAATATACATATGTTGATATATATATATATATATATATAGAGGTATTCCATTTTATTATTGAACGTGTGTCCAGCTGCCCTGAATAAGAAATTGAATTTGTGCTTGTTAGAAAGGGCAACTGCTTTCAGACACGTACTTAGCTTATTTATAACATTAGACGAGTTAGCTTAAATTACACTTTGGCGCTAGCCGCCGCTTTTTGAGTACTTCTTCCAATATCGCTTAACATCGTCATGACCATTCTTCTGCACGACCATGGTGCGAGTGCGCTCGTTTTGCCAGACCAGCATATTGATGGATTGGGCGTAGTCGCGCAGCGTTACGAAGTCATTTTGTGAGAGGAACTGATTGTAGACAACGCCTTCGGTGTAGGTGAAACGATTTCGTTCCAATTCCCAGAGTTTGATTTGATCCACTACTGTGGGTGGTAGGCAGGATTTTGATTGAATGGCCGACTCGACCAGCTTCATGTTGGGATGTGCATACTGTTCTAAATAGCTAACAATTTGTTCGGCTGTGATGCCGCCACGCAGCGCTTGCCGCACAGAATCTCGGGTGAGCACACCCACCACGAGGTTGGGAAACCGATAGAGCAGTTCGGTGAATAGGCCCAGCACAGCGACCTGCAGCTGTGAATCTGTATAGGCATACACGCGATAGTTGGTCTCCACCACAATGTAGCCTCGCTCTTGCATGCGCTCCTCATCTGCCGTAGTGGAGGCCTGTGCTGCATCCTTGTTGGTTACATTTAACGCCAGTCGTGTGGGATAAAACCGACCCTCCTTACGCTTCCGTTGAAAGACCAACCCGAACTCTCGTAAGTGTTGGAGAAACGTCAGCATCTGACTGTTCATGCCCTCGGAGCTGTAGTCGCGTCCCAACGTTGAGAAGCTCAATTGGAAGAGCATAGATAGACATTCAGGCAAGGAAATACCACGCTCCTCGCATGTCTCTAAATACTGCAGCATAAAATGCCAGACCTGGGCGCGTGTGTCCAGCAGCAAGAATTGAAATCCCTGCCGAGTGATGGTTATGCCATCTCGCTCGTCGCGCTTCATAAGATTTGCATGGAGCAGAATGCGTACGGCATCTGGACTGATAGCCTCGGCGTCGGTGCCGCCATTCCGACCACCCGTACCTACCATGTAATGCAGTACACAACGCCAGCGAGACATGGCATATGAGTCAAGGAACGTAATGTCCCGTGGTTTGGAATCCTTATCCAGCGTATTAGTCATAGCCCAAGGTTTTCCTCCGCCCAACAGTACTTGGCGGACGCTCTTCTTAAATGTGGGTGACAGCTCCCATGCAGCCAATCCACCTGGTATAGCTGTCACGCGCCATACACACAAGGCAGTCAAGCAGCTGGTGGCCTCCATTTGTTCCCTACAAAGGATTATAGATTTCTGAATGTTTTGAATAACAGATTATATTTATTACTTACTTGGCCACACGTTGTGCCCCCCATGAGGTGACAACGGCCTGTGGCACGGGTTGATCTACGAACAGTATACGAATTACGAATTGTCTTGCTATTTCGGGCAATTCTCGATAGACCGCAAGGCAAATTGGTGGATAGTTGTAGAGCTTCTCCAATGTTTCGGGTGTTTGGCGGGTGCGTAAATATTCCTGAAAGTTCTTGCACTCTAGGTTCTCGGGACTCTGAACCAGAGGTGATATAGCAGCGCTGCTGCTCGCGAAACGGCCGGATTTTGTATCGGCCATGGCACGATGCGCCCAAATTTGTTTAACAATTTCGCGTCTATATGTAAGCCGTGCCGGTAATCGATTTCTTACAATTTAACTATTGTATGCGATACTTTGTGAGATCGAGTGTGCGAAATTATTGATATCGATATTGAACATCGGAAATACGATACTAAAATAAATACAGCTGTTTGAATTTTATAACAAATCAATATTCTGCAAGGTGCATATCAATAAAACAAAACAATTGCTGACATCATATGAATTGCTTAAGCAACATTTAACACATTGTGTGAACAGAGTACCATTGAATACAACGATAACGATAGTTAGTTATTGTGAATTATTTTGTACGATAACAATCAGCTGTTTGTGTCACCGCGTGTTTCGTATATTTGCTCGGCTTAACATTTAATTTTAATTTAAAATGAGTGATGATGACGAGCAATATAATTCCACTGCGCACAAAAAGCTGCTGCAGGCCATTAGTAACCTAGGTAATGTGCAACATATACGCAAATCGACGCGTGATGAGCGCCAGCCTCAACAGGATGAGTTCCAGTTGTTCAAGAGTGCAAAAACAACACAACATGCAACTAAGGCAGTGGGTGTCAACGATTTGGTTCAAATATTGCGCTCGTCCAAGCACATTGAAACCGGCAAGAAGCTAAAGAATGTGCATAGCACCAAAAAGGTTCTTGAAAAGCCACTTGAGAAGCCAGCTGCTGATCGTATCAAGCGAACTATTGGCTACGAAGGTGTTAAAAAGAAACTTGGTCGCTGGGATGCTGTCGTGGCCAAACAACGTTCCGCTGAGACGCAGGTGAGCATTAACTTGGATAATATAAGAAACTAAAGACTTGAATGAGTTCTTTCAGATTTTTCCCATACCATCGGAAACGATATACATAAATACAGCGGCACATGCAAAGGCCTTAAGGACAAGTATCAAATCCGAGTTGGGCAAAGAGCTGGAAGCGAGCAATAAAAAGTTGCGTGAGTTACGCAAGGCGCAAATCGGCGACGACACTGATGAGCAGGCATTGGCCAAACGGGAAAGCGAGTTAATACAAAAGAAACTGACCCGTGATGAGCTCTACGCACGACGCCGGGAGCTTGCATATTTAAAGATGCGCGAGTCTCAGAAGTCGGCTAAAGCGCGTATGCAAAATAAGATTAAGTCCAAAAAGTATCATAAGCTGCAGAAGCGACAAAAGATATTGGAACAAATGAAGGAATTCGAGGTACTGCAAAAGACCAATCCGCAGGCTGCCCTAGAGAAGCTAAATGCCTTGGAGAAGAGTCGCGTGCTAGAACGTGCAAGTTTGCGGCACAAAAACACCGGCACCTGGGCCAAGAATTTACAGGTACGCGCCAAATACGATAAGGATGTTCGCAAAGATCTTGCCGAACAGTTGGCTGTGAGTCGTCAGTTGACTGAAAAGAAAGTGGATTCGGATAGTGAGGACGAACAACAGAGAGCAAGACAAATGGAAACAAATGAACAAGAGTCTTACGATCCATTCAATCCCTGGACGAAGTCGAAAACAGCTGTAAAGGACGAACCCCAAGCTGAGGGAGGGGACTCCAACTGGCGAAAATATTGGATAGAGCGCAATGAAAATGAAAAGTTGCTGGCTGAGCATAGTGCTGAAATGGAAGCTGCGCAGCTTGAGAAGAAGCAGATTAAGAAAGCCGCAAAGGAGCCAACAAAAAAGAAGAAGAAACCCAAGGTAGTTGTGGAAAATGGTTGGGTAGTTGAGGAAGTTGATGAAGCTCCAGTTAAAGCTAAAACATTGGATGACATATTCGATGCTCAAGATGAAAATATCTATGATAAGATAAGCCAAAAGCTAGTAAAGCTTAGAAAGCAAGCAGAAATGCTGAAACAGCCGACAAAGAAATCAAAGAAGCTGAAGCAAAAACGCGATGAACTGAAAAACTTGAAAGATTTGACATTCAAGAAGACGAAACAACGTGTGGAAATCGATGAGCCACTCAACCAAGAAGAAGTGACCTCTAAACCAGCTGTAGAAGGTGTTAACGACTTGTCTAAATTAGAAGAAGAAAAGAAACTGGAAGTTGAACCGACAGAAATCGATCCCAATAAGGTGGCCACCATAACGTGGAAGCAAACGGTGCGCAGTTCGGATGCCATGAACAATGCTTTGGTGGACGACGATGCAGCGGAATATGATGAAGCGGATGCTGCGGCCGAGCGCCAATTAACCATTAGCGAGGCCTTCGAGGATGATGATATTATAGCTGATTTTAATAAGGATAAGACAAACGACTCGGAAGTAAAGAACACTGAACTGCAGTTGGCGATGCCCGGCTGGGGCTCTTGGGCAGGCGCTGGCATATCCCAGAAGGTCATGGAAAGACGCAATAAGCGATTGCTACTCAAGTTGGCAGCGCCCGAGAAGCGCAGGGATGACAACAAGGACAATCTCTACATAAATGAGACGAGCAACAAACAAGCGCGAACCCATCGCGTCTCCAGCATACCATTTCCGTTCAAATCCCTGGCTGATTATGAAGCCAGCATTCGTGCGCCCATAGGACGCAATTTTGTGCCCGAAACAGCTTTCCGTATGCTCACACGTCCGGCAGTCATTACGCGCAAGGGTCAAGTTATCGACCCCATGGATGAAAGCGAATTGGTCAAGCCCAATCGTCGTCTGCGTCATGTGGTGGACAAGCGGATAAGACGACAGGAGCAAGCGGACCAGGCGAAGCTGCCAAAGGTGGCCAAATAAGATTTAAAGTAAATAAATTTATAATAAAAAATTCATTTGGTGTTTTATTTCAAAAAGTTTAAAGCTAAAAGAAATACACGAAACTTTTTATATTGATATTTCAATTTTTTTTAATTGTTTATTTTACAAAAATTTTGCCTTGGATTAAATTAATCAAAGAAAGTCTCATTGCTAAATTGCGCGTTGTTAGCTTATTTAACTGGAATTTCGTTTACACACATACATACATGTATATGTGCATATATGTTTGTTAAAAATTGTACAAATTATTTATTTAAATAATACAATTTTACAATAAACTAAAATTCAAATCACGCAGCGCAAAGGTTTCGCAAATACCTAATTTAATGCAAACAATTTATATTTAGATAAACAAATTTAGATGCTCTTTATTATAATTATTATTATTATTATAATTATTTTCAATTGGAAGTTGAATTTATTTGACATTTAGATGTATAATTTACACACATTTATATATATGAAATGTTTAATTGTTTATTGTTAAATTGCCTGTTAGCAATTTGTCTATTGCTTTCTATTATTATTTTTATTTCAATTTCACGTAGCTACAATTGCGCTAATAGTATGTTTTATTATTATCATTCTATATATATATATTGTTTTTTATACTTTTGCATAATACTTTGCTTTGCCATTTATTTTTCATTTTTATTTTTAAGCAAAAGTTAAAGAACTAGCAAAAAACAAAAGTTCTTAACATTAAAAACTACTTAACATCAAGTTTTGGGTTTGTTTTCAATTTCGGTTCAATTTCTTTTGTTTTTAGTTTTTTTTTTAGGAAATTTTATTTATTTTATGAACCTAAATCGTGTGTTTATATATATATACTATACATATATCGTATATTTGCTGGCTCAGAAAAATGCCACGACTTTGAGTCGTTTCTGCTTTCGGTTTAGTCAAATATGGAGCTCATAGAATTGAACACCCTGCTTCCATTTACAATTGTAATGTTTTGAACTGTTTTTTTTTTCTGTTTTGTTTTTTCTACTAAAATGCTAATAAAAGACACTTTTTGCCAGGCATTTCAAAATTGCTAATTTGTTTGTTTGATTTTTCTCTCTTCCCCGCCCCCCATTTACACACATACGTACATACATACAAAGAAACACACAATCTTTTTCTCTACTTTTATAGTTTGTTGGTAAGCTTAACCGGCTGGCAATTCATTGTAATAATACCCTGTTATCCGCTGTGACGTCGGCTGCTTACATTAGCACACAGCATTTGCGACTGGTGCTCGTGCTGTCGCTGACCACGTCGCCAGTGTTGCCACAGAACTTGTTGACCGAATTGGCGTTGCCAGATGTTGCCATTGGCGCAGCTGTCTCAAAGTCCAGTAAGCTGGGACTCATTGCGCCCAGTCCCAATGGCTGCGCAGCGATCGGACCGGCGGCCATGTTGTTATTGTTGTTGTTAGCGCTGCTAGTGTTATTGTTATTGTTGTTGTTGTGATTAACCGTAGTGGCGGCTCCTAAAACAGAACCATTAGTTGTTGTTGCACTTGTTGCTGTCGTTGCAGTTGTAGCACTTGCAGCGCTCGTAGTGGATGAAAGCTCGAAATTATTAAGCACATTGGCGGTGCGCGAGAGTGAACGTTGCTTTTTCAAATTTGACAAAGTAACGGCACCCGCATCCATAGCAACATATTGCTGAGGAACATGTTGCTGGCCATGCTGCTGTTGCTGGTGATTATGTTGCTGCAGCAGCAAAGCATGTTGCTGCAACTGCTGCTGATGTTGCTGGCTATGTTGCTGATGATGGGTGCTGTTTGTGTCTACATGAGTTGGTTGTGTTGGGTGGTTTGGGTGGTTGGTTGGTTGGTTGGTTGGTTTATTTGTTGATGATGATGCAGGCAGGCAGACGACACAAAACGAGCGCAACGAGTCGAACACAAAAAAAAATATAAACATAAAATCACAAGCAAATGTTATTTAACTTTTCTTCTTTTTCTTTTTATATAAAGCTTATGTTTTGAGAACGAATTGTGTGTACCCTGTGATTGTTATATGGAACTGTTTACTGTGCTGTATGAAAATGAAAGTTAAGACAAATACTAGAACACATTATGTGGAGTTGTATATGACATGACCAATATGCTAATACCCTGTAAAGCTGTGTGATAGATATCAAGAAATATGATAGAAGTGCTTATATATGGAATTCAGATCAAGTTACTTGCTGCTAGTGAGCTACTCTACTATATACATTCTGTAGAGCATGCCCTAGTCGTGTTAGCCTAACTACGAACATGATTTTCAGCTTGACTTTCGTTTAAGTAGAGTCGTTAAACAAACATTAGACAGCGACATTTGACACAGGGGAGAAGCATTTAAGCGGCGTTGCTTGATTGAAGCAACCTGTGAGTGAGTGTGTGTGTGTGTACGTGTCTGTGAGTGTGTGTGTGTGTCTCTGTTATATAGGTAATCTTCATGTTACTCACCCACTAGCACAGTGACCTGCACGTTGATCTTGCCATTGCCCGCCGCCTTGGACGACTGAATCTGCACCGCCTCAGCGCTGGCAGCGGTGCCCTTCTCAGTCAGTATGACCGCGGCGGCCGAGGTGGCACGCTGCAGCTCGCCGCCGCCACTGGCGCCCGGATCACCCGCCTTGAGCAGCAGCTGCTCGTCGTTCTCGCGTCCGTCGGGCGGACGACGCGGCAGGTAGGAATGTGTCGTTGTGAGCGTTATGTTGTCCACGGCATCCGCGGACTTGGAGTGCGACAGGCTGGCCGTTGAGGGGCGTTTCTCGGCATTGTTAACGTTATTGTTGTTGTTGTTGTTGGTCGTGTGATAGCCATAGCCATTGGGCAGATCAGCGGGAGCCGTGGTCGTTGTGGAGCCTGGATCAGTGGCCTCCTGCGCCTGCAGACGCAGTCGAGCCTCCTCCACAGCATCCTTTTTGGTTGTAAGCGTTTTGTCGCGCAGGCTGGTGCGACGCACCGATTGGGCTCTGAGCAGGGAAATCATGTTATATATATATAAAGCGTGAGGGTTATATGGTATAGTCTACCTGGTATTATTGCTCTGCGAGCGCCGAACGCGCCTTCGTTGCGCCTCCGCCAGTCGTTTGCTCTCCTGTTCCGTTTTCAGCTGCTCGATGCGCTCACGTATCTCTGGATCCTCGCAGATATCTGAACGAACAACATTATATAGTATATATATATATATAGTATATATTGGAGTGGAGTCTGTTATTTGGCATTTACCTGAAGGCGTTTCATCATCTTTGTTGCGCACATTCAAATCAGCACCGCATTGCGCCAGCATCTCCAGAACTTCGAGCTGTGAAGGTGAATAGAACAGGTGAGTCGAGCTCTAATTGCTATTCCATTGGCTCTAGCATTGTGGCAACTTCACTTACATGTCCCCAACATGCTGCCGCATGCACAGGCGTCCACAGATCCTTGTCCATGGCATCCACATTGACGTGCTGCTCCAGCAAAAACTCCACGACGCGCACGTAGCCATTGGCAGAAGCTATGTGCAGCTGCAAGAGAGAGAGAGAGAGAGATAGATATAGAGAGGAACAGAAGAGTAGAGGGAGAGCTTAGTTGTTGTGCACAACAAGTGTGTGTGTGTGTGTGCTATCTGACTAACCGGCGTGGCGCCTTGAGAGTCTGGCTCCTCGAGATCAGCACCGGTGCGCGCCAGCTCCATTAGATCCTTGAGCATGACACGCTCCGTGGAGGAGCGCGTCTCATCAATGAGCTCCTGGGTGACGCCGCGCTGCGCCATTTCGCCCTCAATAAAGTCCAGGGTATTCTCGTCGTCGCACAGATCATACGGCATATTGCCATCCGTATTGACGGCCAACAGATTGGCATTGTGCCGTATGAGTATGCGCACCAGCTCCAAATGGCCGCAGGTGGCCGCCGCATGCAGCGGCGTCCATTTATCACTGTCCTGGGCATCCACGTTGGCGCCATAGTCGAGCAGCAGCCGCAGCATGTCCACATTGTTGTCAATGCAGCACTGATGCAGCGCCGTCAAGCCATCCTCGTTGGCCGCATCTGGTGTGATGCCGTGTTGCAGCAGTGCCGCCACCTCGGGCATATCGTTCCGCGACGCCGCCTCCAATAGCACCACGCTATTCTCGAACGATATGTGCCGCCTGCCGCTCAGCGTGCCGGAGCCATTGGCATGCCGAAAATGATGTGTTGTGTCGCCGGTGCCGCCGTTCAATATGCTGGCCACGGTGCCACTACCGTTGCTGCCACTGCCACCGCCACCTCCACTGCCCGTCTGGCCCTTGGCTCGCTGCAGCTTGAGCCATTCCTTCTCCTTCTGCCTGGCCAACTTCAACTGCTGAGCGCGTCTCCTACAAAGTGGAAGCTGCATTAGTCCAGAACTTTTTGCTACGTTTTCATGAGCTTCGCTTAAGTAGATTTATAAATGCTTAATTGGTATAATATTTATTTGCTGTCATGTGATTACAACTACACATTCCCCACTCCCTCCTCTCTCTAAGTTGGCTAAAAACCAATCAAAACTTGGTCTACAACTTTTCAGTTCTTACTTCGAAGTTCTCATCACTCGCCTGCTCGCAGTCAAACTGCAAAGATTTGTCCTAAAGAGATTTCAGCTACAGCGAACGTGCTTGACTTTGTGGTATTAGTGGCGCCTGCCTTTGGCCCACATTGGAAGATCCTCAAGTGCTCTAGATAACCATTTCGAATTTCGTATGCTGCCTCTTCGAAAATTGAAAACAGTTTGAACAGCTGTTTTAAACCTTCGTCTAGCAAAGCTATTTAAATGTGCCTGTTCGGGTGCTTTCGAGTTTATTGGACAATAATCTTAACTGCTTCTACTTAGCCGGGTTTATATAGAAAATAATTGTTTCAGCTGTGGAAACTATTTTAGAACTGTTCTCCACAAATACTTTCCCTGCCTCTGTTGAGCACTTAATTGTTAATAACATTTTGGGTCTAGTAAATTTCTAAGAACCTTTTCTAGCTTACAATGAATCAGTTTTCACGCACTTTGCTAGCTACCAAGCCTAACTAAGATTACACAATATATTTGCGCTTGATTTAGCTACTTTTAGTTGCAGTTTATTTAGTTGTTCATATACTGAAAGTGAAGGCTTCCTTAAAAAAGCTGTTAATATACAATTCTCAACTGGTTATGGCTTGAAGGAACATAGTTTAGGGTTAACTGCTCACTTCTTGGGTGTTTTTAGCTGGCTCTCAAACAAATACATTAACTCAAGCTTTAACAGTTAGCAAAAGCTTGTAGTTTATATATATAATTCTTTTATAATTGTCTAATTTTTTTTGTTTTATTTTTTTATTATATTTTTTATTTTTAGATTTTTAAATTTTTGATTTTTTTTATATTTTTAGTTCTTTAATATTTTTATTTACATTTGAATATAAAAATTTATATATATATATATATATTTTTATTTATTTATATTTTATATTTTGCTTGTTTATATTTTAGTATTTTTTGTAATTTTTTATATTTGTATTATATTATTTTTGTTTTAAATATTTGTTATATTTTTACTTATATTTAATGCATTTTTTAGTAATTATTATTATTGTTTTTAATTATTTTTTTTTCCGTTATGTTTTTAGTAAATATAAATATATAATATATTTTTTTATATTATATATTCTTTTTTTGTATTTTTTATTTTTATATATTTGTATATTTGAATACTTTTATTTATTTCTTTTTTTTTTAAATTTAATTCATTAATTTATTTATGATTATTTTATATATTTATATTTTATAATTTTGAATTTTAAAAATGTGTTCTATAATTTTATATTTTCTAATTATTTATTCTTAAATTTAAAAAATTTTTAATTTTTATTATATTTTTTATAATTTTTAATTTTTATATATTTTTTTTGTATTGTATTTTAATATATATTTTTTATACATTCTAAACTTTTTTGTATTTAAAAATTGTCCTATTTTTACTTCACTTTTGTTTGTTATAATTTTTTATTTAATTTCAGAGACCCTATGAACTTACAGTCTGGCCAGTTGGAGTCTCTCGTGGGTGGGCAGACTCTCCACGGTCTGCATCTCGGCGACCAGGTCGGCGTGCTCCATTTTGAGCTGCTTCGTGTAGCTGGCATCGTCCTGACTTTTGCGCTGTATCAAAATGCCTTTGATCATCTTGACGTCGCTTGCTGATGCTGATGCTGCTGTTGATGTTGATGTTGATATGTTGTAGAATATAGTATTAGTTAGTTATTCACACAGTTGGCAACTTAGACCAAGGCTGCTTGTTGTTGTTGTTGTTGTTGTTCGTCTTCTGCGTCGTTTGCATGTAAATTGTAATTTGCATTTTTGAGTTTAAATCTCGTTTGTGGAGTGTCTCATGTGGTTAGTTTTTGTGTTATCATTGGAGCAGCTGTTGCTGTTGCTGTTGCTGTTGCTGTTGCTGCTGCCACTGCCACTGCTGCAACTATTATTATTAATAACAATATTATTGTTATTATTAGGATGATTGCAGTTGTCGTTGTAGCTGCAACGCTGCAGCCGAGGCAGCTCTCATGGCAGCAGCGCGTCCACAACTGTTGGCACCTTACAATTTCCCTTCTCAGCACCGCTGGGTTCAGCTCTCCAACTTTTACAGCTGCCTGCAATAGAAAGAGAGAGAGAGAGAGAGGAGAGAAAACCAGGTTAAGCCACAAATCATATAAAGTAAGTCACGCAATTGATTAGTCCCAAGGGAGTCTTAAAGTTCTTTCTAGCTTATTTCCCAGTCGTGCACTGCCCATAGGAATAATGTCAATTGTTTATTAGACTCGCAACCCAACAAAGGCGAGTGAACAGGATTTAAGGCTATAGCCAATTGCTGCCATATTCGATATCTTATTATTATTATTATATTCATTATATTCTTATTATTATTATTATATTCATTATATCTTATTATATTCATTATATTCAGTTTGTGTGTCTGTTTGCTCTGCTCTGCTCTGTTCCATTGCTAACCCTCCGAAGAACGTAGCTATTTACTCTTCTATGTGCTGATCGAGCCTACAGATCCACTCAATTAATGCTCTTGAGTTCGTCTGCAGCTTGAGCGCACTTTCAGCAGCTATAAAAGGCAGAGTCAGTCGTGTTTCTGACCTGCTGCTGGACGGGCGCGCTGTGCTGCTCTTTAGTATTTTTGGTAAATATTCAAAAATAATTATGGTATTGGTTTAAACTAATATAAAGTTTACTATTTAAATATTTAAGAATATTGTTACTATACAAATTTTGATTATTAATAATATTATATTTAGTATTAACTATAATAATATATATTTATAAAAATTATATGTTGTAATAATTATAAATATGATTTTTATGAGCTAATGACGATTATATTATTGAGATTAGCTTTAGCTTATAATAATAAATATATTATAATATTTAAAAAACATGTTAATACTGATCATGCTAATGCTAATAAAGCTAATAAAATAAATAAATAATGAAAATTCTTATATCAATAATGCTATGCTGCTATTACTGCTAATTATGCTGATCTGGATGATAATAATATGTCAATTATAACAAAGATAGTCTTAATTATGAGAGTGTCAAATAGAATCATGATAATAATTATGATAACGACAAGGCTGTTGCACGATTATTTTGATGATAATGACCAGCTGCATTTGCCGTCGCTGCTTACTGAGCTGCCTCTAAGCTAAGCTAGGGGTTATGATCAAAGTCTGCCAGTTTGATACGCCTTATACGCTAGGCTGCAGCACTCTAATTGCTTTTGGTTTATGGATTTTATTTAAAGTAGTCGAAGTGGGCAGGCCGGGTTAACTGGCTAAAGTGCGTAGGGCCAAAATCCAATTGCATGACAAAGTTTTGTTGGTCAGAGTAAGCAAGATAAATTGATGCTGGCAGCAGAGCAGACACAGCCTGAAGGCGAGAGAGAGAAGGAAGAGCGAGGAGGCAAGAGTTCGAGGAGTAGCTGAAGCAACAGTCGAGGCAATTGTGCTAATGGAATAGCTATCAACTATCGCACAAACTGACAAACTAGACACATTTCGCTTTATATATTTTTTTTTTTTTTTGTTTTTCTTTTTGGATGCGCTGAAGCGTATGAATAATGTCCTATGAGTGCGTCGGCTCCATGTCCTTGCCAGCTCAAGTGGTTCAATAACCAACCAACTAAGTTTTGGCAACGGCAGCAGCTGCTGAAGCACGTCGAGTTCATTTGAGTTGAAGATGAGCTCTGAAGCGTCGTTGCCAACGTTGCCTTGCCTCGCGTTGCACGTGGCAAAGAGCATTTTTAAATAAAAACAGTTGCAAAGCCCTTTAAACAGCTTTCAATGCTGCGCACTGAGATACTCATTTGCTATGCCCTCACATCGGGGATACCTGTGTAAGTCCTTAAATAAACTGTCAAGTGACTGTGCCATGTCTCTCTCTCTCTCTCTCTCTCTCTCTCTGGGTGTGTGTGTGCGTAGGGATTAGGTATAAATGTTGCTGCTGCACTACATAAACTTTGCAAATGTAAATAAAATTCAAATTCAGTTGTCCTAGCAAATACTTTTTGCAGATATAATCTGCTCGTAAAAGTTTTTATGAAAAAAAAACATAAATTAAAGAGAAGTTGATAAACATATCTTTTATTCACTCGGTTTCTGTATTACATTTAAATAAGCTACTAGTTTAGTGCTTTAAATCTGAAGCCTTAACTATCGCCCTTCTATGCGCTTCTCAAGCGCAGCTCTTACAACTCTTTACTTTGCCTAGTCTTGTTTTATAGAAGTCGTCATTGAAGCTACTTCATTAACTACTTACTCAACAATTATCTGCCTTCTATGCGATTCTCATGACCTTAAATATATCTTATTTAGCATTTTGCTTAATAAATTGTAACTAAACATTTGTTTTTCTTTGTACTATTTCCATTTCACTCAACTTTCTCAAGGCCTTTCTTTGTGATTCCATTTTTTCTTGCAGCTGTCTAACTACTTTCATTCACTTCATTGCAGCTCTTCTATGCGCTTCTCAAGCCTTAGAGTCGTATACCCTGTCTATTGGAATGCGGTAAAAAACTTTCCGTTGTTTGCCGCCATAGAACTACGTGTGCCATTAGAGTTAAATTACATTGCTCTTCAATGCGATTCTCATTAAATCACACAGCTTCCTCTGCATGTTAAATGAGCGTTTTTTTGTTTTGCTCTTGCAGCTGAATAACTACCTTTTGCAATTTGATTGATATCTAGAGCTCAACTCATTAAAAGTCAGCCATATCTCTAGGGACTCGTTCGAGTCTCGTTTGTGTGGCAGACTCCCCCTTGGCTCGTGCACCTTTTTTGCCGCATTGTGTGGACTGTTGCCAGCACGTTGAAGTTTGCCCGTTAAACGCAAAACAAACTCGAAATTGGCACAAAAAACACCTGTGACCCTTTTTTTTCTTCTCATGTGGCACAGGAGGAGCGAGACGTGGCGAACAATCAGCACTCGAATTTAATTTGCATGGCCAGCCATCAGCTAGAGCTACAACTACACCGACAGCCATAGCGAGTCCCTGTGGCAGCTCCCTTTGCGCTGCATGGAACTCAACTTGACTCACGTGCGCTCGCTTTTATTTGATTTTGATTTCATTTTTTGGGGCACACAGGAGGCACCAACAGCAACAACAGCAACCTGAGTAACAAACAACAACAATGAACTATAATTTACGTTGCCCTGCATTGCTGTGGCACAGTTTTTGGACTCTTCGCTGCGCCAGCTCCTGCTCAGTCTCAGTCTCCTGCATATGCTACTGCTTCTGCTTCTGCTTCTGCTTCTGCTTTTGCTTATGCTTTTGCTTTTGAGGAAGGCAACAATAACAATAGACCTTTGGCTGCTTCAATGCCTACGTTTGGCCTCGCCGTCGCCGTCGCTGACTCTTGGGCAAACGCTTAAAACTAACATCCTTAGCCTCACTTGCCACTGCACACTTCCCGCTTCCCGCTTCCCGCTTCGCCCCTTGCGAAACACATCAGCTTCGTGCTTCCTCCTGCTCTCATTTGCATTCTCATTGCGCTTCTCATCCTTATGCTAGACGGGTGCTAATGCACTCAATGCAAGCACATAATTCGCTGCCCTCGAGAGCCGGAGAGGCTGAGTGGCATGCAACACTTGTAAGCCACCAAGAGCTGGCCAAAGCCAAGCCACCAACAACACCCACAGCTACAGTGACTAAGCAGGGCTCAGATATTAAGTTGTAATGAAAATCAACTGGAAAATGGAAGAATGGAAAAATTACTGAGAATATAATTACGTGCGCGTTGAATGAAGCAGAGCTAGAGCCAGATACAGCACTTGATTTGCTATTGAATAGCAGGAAAACTAATATGAAAGTCAAGCAGAGTGTGGGATGTGTGGGAGGGAGGGATAAGGAGAGGGGAAGGGGAGGAAATGGGAAATGGATGGATGGAAATGGCAATGGAAATGGATATCTGGAAGATAATAGGTGACTGAAGAAATAAAGTGAGAGAGAGTGAGACCTCAATCACTGAGTGAGAGAGAGAGCGAGAGCATGGACTTGAGAGAAAGAGATATATACGAGTCGATTTCGGACATATAGACACAAAATTAGTTTGGGGTTTTGATCTGTTATGAATTGGTGTTCTATTAACCGAAAAAGGATGAGCAAACTGAAGAAAAATACACTTCAAGAACTCCCAAATTGAAACTTAATATCTCATCTCAAATTTTCACAGTTTGTTCACACTTTATGCCTAGATTAACTTTTTATATACTCTAAGAATATTTTTTACTTTTAAATATTAAATTCTGCTCATTTTCAAGTATATATATATATACTATTTCTTTTAAAATTTTTTATTATATTATATATTATATATATATATATATATATATATATTTCTTTTAAAATTTCTATTATTCATTTCGCAGTTTCCACTGTGGCTCAGCTGTAACGGCACTCATTAGAGGGTCTTTTGCAGCAGACCCGATCTAAGGCTTCAACAGCGACGCCTGAAGGTGTTTTTTTCTACGCTCTACCCACTTGTTATTGTTGTAGCTGTTGCTGTTGCTGTTGCTGATGTTGGACTCATGTTGCACATTGCGCCTGTCGAGAGGCATTCAGCTCAGCGCGTCCCTGCCTTGCCCTAGAGCAGGTCATCCTCAACGCCGTCGTCGTCACTTGCCTTGATGTTGAGGCCACTTAGTTTGAATTAAGCTTGAAGAGGTTTTCTGACATTTCTCTCTTCGTCCTCTCTTTGCTTGTTTGAACGTTTTTTATGTTTTATCTTAATGTCTTTATTTCATAAGTTATTTGCTTATGGCTTGCGTTATTTGGCTGTTGCATAAATCTACAGCTCAAGCAACAGCAATATTAATAACTTAAGAAGCCAACGCACGCACAGACATGCCACACGCCCACACACACAGCAACTGGCATCCGGCAAGTGGCAAGTGGGGGTGGGCGTAGTGGTGAGCACATAACAAGGAAGCTGCCTTTTGCTTGACCAGCTGAAAACACGCATACGCCCTGATGTACGACAATGACTTGCCTTGAATATTTTCGGTATTCGATAGTTGCTGCAGCTACTGCTGCCACTGCTGCTTGCCACAATTTGAGGCAGGAATATGTGCTCCCCTTTGTATTGATAGACAACAAGCATGCAGCAAGCTGCACACATAAATGGAAATTGTATCACAATATCGCATGTTGGCCCGGTTACTAGTTTTATCGACCTACGTCTAGCTGCCACACAAGCAGACAAAATTCCAAGGATTACCAAGATGTCTATAATTACAACTATAAGTTATTGCCGTAGCATATTAAATGCAATAAATACCTGTCATAAACCATATATAACATA